TTATACCGTAAATTAGGGCTCCTAGATTTGCTGCTATTTTATCTTTGATGAATTTTATAGTTTTGGGTTTTACATTTCAGTCTTTGATCCAGCTTGAGTTTGTTTTTGTGTATGGGGTGAGGTATGGGTCTTGTTTCATTTTTCTACAGGTGGATATCCAGTTTTGCCAGCACCATTTGTTGCACCGTTTGTTACACCATTTGTTAAAGAGGCTATCCTTTCCCCATTAAATGGGCTTTGGGCCTTTGTCAAAGATCAGTTGTCCATAGATGGATGGGTCTATGTCTGAGCTTTCGATACTGTTCCCTTCGTCTGTCTATCTACCTTTGTACCAATACCATGCTGTTTTGACTACTGTGGCTATATAGTAGTTTTTAAGATCTGTGAGTGTGAGACCTCCCACTTTGTTTTTCTTCTTGAGAAGTGCTCTGCTTATTTGAGGTCTCTTTCCTTTCCCTATGAAATTAGTATTAGTTTTTCCATGTCCTTAAAAAATTTTGTTGAAATCTGGATCAGGATTGTGTTAAATGTATAGATTGCTTTAGGTAGTATTGACATTTTCACAATGTTTAGTCTACCTATCCATGAACTAGGCAGGTTCTTCCATTTATGTAGTACTCTTGTTGTCTCTTGTAGCAGTGTGTTATAGTTTTCTCTGTATAGATCCTTTGTGTCTCTCATGAGGTTTATTCCTAGATATTTTATCTATTTCGTAGCTATAGTGAATGGTATGGTATCCCTTATTTCTTTACCAGAAGAGTCCTTGCTGGTGTAGAGAAATCCAACTGATTTTTGTATGTTGATCTTGTATCCTGCCGATGCCATGGCAATGGTTGCATTGCGTTTGTGTTGGGTTTTCTATGTATAGGATCATATCATCTGCAAATAGAGATAGTTTTAATCCCTCTTTGCCAATATGTATGCCTTTTATTTCTCTTTCTTACCTTATTGCCATGGCCAGGACTTCCAATACAATGTTAAATAGAAGTGGTGATAGAGGGCATCCCTGTCTGGTTCCCCTTCGTAAGGGGAATGCCTTGAGTTTTTATCCATTAATAACAATGTTGACCGTTGGTTTGCATATATACCCTTCATTATGTTCAGGAATTTCCCTTCTATCACTATTTTGCTGAGAGTTTTAATCAAGAATGGATGTTGGATTTTATCAAATGCCTTTTCTGCATCAATTGATATGATCATATAGTCCTTTTCCTTTGTTTTGTTTATGTGGTGGATTACATTGATTGATTTTTTGATGTTGAACCACCCTTGCAAACCTGGTATGAATCCCACTTGGTCTGGATGTATTAATTTTTTGATATGTTGTTGGATTCTGTTGGCCAGGATTTTGTTAAAGATTTTTGCATCTATGTTCATGAGTGATACTGGTCTGTAGTTTTCCTTTCTAGTGTTGTCTTTCCCTGGTTTTGGTATTAGTATTATGCTTGCTTCATAAAATGAGTTTGGGAGTATTCCATCTTTTTCTATGTTCTAGAATAGCTTGAGTAGCATAGGTGTCAACTGCTCTCTGAATATTTGATAGAATTCTCTAGTGAAGCCATCAGGACCCGGGCTTTTCTTTGTGGGAAGTTTTTTTTTATGACCTGTTCAATTTCTTCCCTTGTTACGGGTCTGTTTAAGTTTTCTATTTCTGAGTGGGATAATTTAGGTAGATCTTGTGATTCTAGAAACTTGTCCATCTCTTCTAGATTCTCATATCTATTGGTGTACAGTTTTTCGTAATAGTCTGTCAGTATCTTTTTTATTCCAGTTGGTTCTGTTGTGGTGACACCATTTTCGTTTACAATTCTTGTGATTTGGGTCTTCTCCTTTTGTTAGTTCTGCGAACAATTTATCGATTTTATTAATCTTTTCAAAGAACTAGCTCTTTGTTTTGTCGATATTCTCTATGATTTTTTTGCTTTCTGTTTCATTTCTTTCTGCTCTGATCTTTATTATTTCCTTGCTTCTAGATACTGTAGGACTCTTTTGTTGTTCTGTTTCTAGTTGTTGTAGTTGATAAGTAGAGTGTTGATTTTGTTCCTGTCCTCTTTTTTGATGTATGCATTTATTGCTATAAACTATCCTCTGAGAACTGCTTTTGCTGTGTCCCATAGGTTTTGGTAGGATGTATCTTCATTCTCATTGGTTTCTAGGAATTTTTTTATTTCA